GTACAAATCCCCCTTTACTTGTGACAAGAAACCCAGAGTCCATATGATCCCAAAATGTTGTCAGTGCAGTCCAATTAAATCCAGTCCTCATTGTGTGTGATGTCGTTCGTTCCACTGGAATGTGTCATATTCTTTTAAGTCAGTCACCCGAAACTGCAGGAAACAAGAGGGAGAGGAACAAAGTTAACCACTACAAAACTGTTTCAATCATTAAAAATAAAACTATGAGACCGTCATAGGACTGCAACTAACAGTTATTGTCACTGTCGATTAATCTGTAGTGTATTTTCTTGATTAATTTAATAGTTGTTTGGTCTAAAATGGTGAAAAATGTCAAACAGTGTTTCTTAAAAGCTGAAGACAACGTCCTCAAAATGTCTTTTTTTTTTTGTCCAAAACTCAAAAATATTCAGTTTACTGTCATAGAGGAGTTAAGAAACCAGAAAATATATTAACATTTAGGAAGCTGGAATCAGATTTTTTTTTTTTTTAATTACTACAAACAGATCAATCGATCATCAAACTAGATGGCAATTAATATTTTAAAACTAGTTATTTTAAAACTGGTTAATTGATTATTCTTAACAGCTCTAGTCCATGAGAAGATTTCAAATGTACCTTCATACATAGATGCCAACCCAGAGTAGTAAGAACAGCACACCGAAGCCCATGAAAAGTGAAGCCACAAGGGAGATCAGCAGCTCTTTGTAGACATCCCTGGTGTACTTTGTTGACGTCACCTCGTAGCTGATTAGAGGGTCAAGGGCCAGCTCATAAAAAATACAAATAACAGCCAAATTCTGAGCTCTTTGCCAAATCTAATGCCTCCTGTATAGCTTATTATGCAATTGTCCATAGTTCAAATCATAGATGGACATTAAAACTGAGTTAAAATTTCATATTATGATTATAGTGACTACAGATGATCACGGTGATCTGTATTATCACGATATTGATCAAATGTGCAGAAAGTACAAACACACTGAAATCATTTTTACTATGTTTTACAATGAAAACCACTTTATGTTTGCATAAACATTAAAGGTCCGGTGTGTAGGATTTAGAGGGATGCATTAGCAGAGATGGAACATTATATAAATATAAAAAGTGTGTTTTCTTTAATGTATAATCACCTGAAAAGAAGAGCTGTTGCATTTTTGTGTTCTCATAATGAGCCGTTTATATCAACACTAGGAGTGGGTCCTTATCCAGGGAGATCAGCATGGTATACCGTCATGTTTCTACAGTAGCCCAGATTGTACAAACACAAAACACTGGCTCTAGATAGGGCTATTCATGTTTTCGTGTCGGCCACTGCAGTTAGCAGCCCCTCCGTGACAGGAACATAGGAATGATTTTTAAAAAAAGAAATTTTACCTGAAACTGCCTTATTGATTGTTTTTACCAGAGAGACCTCTGAGGATAATTCGGCTCCCAGTAAAAACCTCCTGAAAGATGGACACTGAAGGAATTCTAATCTGGAAAAGTTGCAGCTGGTTAAAATCTGCAATCATCTCTGCGAGGTGCCACTAAATCCCCCTGAATCGTACTCCCTGGTCCTTTAATATAATAACAGCCAATACCTGATGTAAACATATGAAAACCCTATCAAATGTGCATTAACATTAAAGACAGCCTGTCTTTGAAAAGCTTGCTCAAGTGTCTTAAAGGTTCAGTATGTAGGATTTAGGGGCGTCTATTGATAGAAATACTGTTCATAATAATATTCATAACTATATTTTTGTTATTTAAATAATCACCTGAAATTAAAATATGCGTTTTTATTACCTTAGGATGAGCCATTTATATCTGCAAACGTAGCGGGACCTCCTCCACAGAGTCCCCTATATTGTTTCTAAAGTAGCCCAGAATGGACACAAACACTAGCTCTCTATAGGGCCATTCACGTTTTCACATTGGCCACAGCAGTTTTAACATCTGGCACAGGGGAGAAGTTTCAGTTGGTTGCAATCTGACCCCTGAAAGTGCATTGGTCTTTGAAGCCAGTTTTCGTAGTGACCAAACAGTGTAATTACATCATGTCACGTGATGCTGTGTGGCCCATAAATACTTCTTCCCATAGACTTGAATGGGAAAAGAGATGCCTGTAAATCTGTGGTCAAATTTTTCTGAGTGTCACTACCCCAGCAAAAGAACTCGTTCCAAAGTCAGATTTTGATCCATTCTGTCCATAACATTTAGAAAGTCTACAGGGGCTGTACAGTTGAATAAATTTCTCCCATTAAAGTTAGCATGGTGCTAAACTAAAAGTATCTGGCTTGGCCACAGAAGTCTCCAGTGTGTCTGCTTTTTGGGCCACACAGTCGAGAAGCAGTGCCAATCATTTTATACCCAGCAGCTTAACTTTTTTTTTGGCTTCATACACCACTGAGCAGCTCTAACACTGTGTCCAGCTCTCTTTGTACATCCATGATTGCAGTCTGCAGCCTCACCACTAGATGCCACTAAATCCAACAAACTAAACCTTTAATCTTGTACAGTTGCAATAGCCTCATGATGTCTGGTATGACCCCTTCTTTCATGTTAACCACATGCACAGTGTTATGTGAAACAAGCGGTGAAAGGATACACAAAGAACCAGGCAGTGAAGAACATGCCGATGGCCAGCAGGACGACAGTGAGGTGGGGGAACACAGCCGGGTTCACCGGGCTGGTGTATCTGGTCATAGCCTCGAGTTCCTGCATCCACAGCAAACAGAATTTAGGTACAAGCAGGTTAGACAAGGTTAGTTTAACTTCTTCACACAATGTACCAAGACTATGGCGTTTAATTAGGATCAAAAACGCATTTATTTTAGTTTTAAGAGAGTCTGAATCAATGAATTTGACATGCGAAGCTAACGTTGCTCTGCTAGTTTGCATATCTATAACGTTAGCTACAAACAGCGTAATTTCACGCTTTGTTTTGCTAATGAATTTGTGAATAATGTGTAAATATAAACTGCATATAATTGTAAATTACAGTTAAATTTATATAAACAAGAAAAAGGTTTGTAATTCTACCATTTTACAGTGAAGCGGAGCTCCTGCCTCTGTGGTACGCAATGATAAGGCCACGTACTGACTGTCACTTCCTGGTTTGTCGTGACGTCGGTTGAATCAGAGTGGTTGTTGATCCTCAGTTTAGTCTGTCAGGCTTCTCGTCATCTTAGGCTGGCTGCGTACAACTGTTTTCTCTCTCAGTTAATCACCCACACATCAATGTTAATAACACATACACCGCGATTAAGTAATTTTTAGGTTTAATACTCGACGGACATTGTGACATTAGCGGTATGTACTCCGCTACCTGAAAGGCAAATATCAGGGCAAAAACGCTGTCATTTCTTGAGCAGTGACCTGAGCTGAGCTGTTAATAAATCCTCGGCTGCCATCTAATGGACAGAACCAGCAATTTGTTTTCAGCTCATGAAGCAGCTTGACAATCAAACACAACAGAAAATTCAATCACAAATTTATTTACTACATGCATTTACATTGTATTACAGCATATTTTTGACAAAAGGCTTTGAATGTAATGATAAAATGGCCTAAAAAGGTAAAGTAGTGATATTAAAGTACTCAACGAGTTTAAGTGTTATGGCATTTTCTCTTAACAAATAGTGCTAAAATTAGAAATGTGTGTGTGTGTGTGTGTGTGTGTGTGTGTGTGTGTGTGTGTGTGTGTGTGCGTGTGTTGTGTGTTTACATACTATCTCTGGGCTCCATTAGCTAAAAGTTAATACATTATTGATAACACAACAACCCCCCCCCCAAAAAAAATATTAACTATAAAAACAATATGATAAAACACGAGATAAAAAGGAGCATTGGTAGTAACAAATGAGGCTATACAGTTACATGTAATGCAGTTCTACCACAGTATATGAAAACAGTCTGGTGCACTGGAAAGAGCAAAAGCAGTCCATATATACAGTGCAAAAAGTGCTACAGTGGTTTTCATTATGCTAGCTGGTGCATTATAAATAAGCTAAAATAGTACACTACACCCACTGAAGTCATAATAAGTATATTGAAAGCATTGTACAGTGTCTTAATATTATGATAAATTCCATAAACCTTTGTCTGATGGCTGTTTTTCCTATTTAATATTGATTTTACATGTGAGATACACTATTGCATTTCTTCTTTATGAATACAGACACATATGGAATATGGATTTAAAAACAAATTTTGACAAAAGCAACAAGAGCATGGTGGTGAGAGTGAATAGAGGATGGCTTTAAGATGAGAAAGGATAATAGAAAAGAAAACATCATACAAGTCAGTTATACTCAAAGTGTTATCACTGCATATTCTTAATTGTATAAACACAGGATAATTATTCAGAAACATCCAGAGAAATACACAAACAGTCCAGTGTATAATATCCAATTTTTATCTCTGCAGTGTGCATAAATAAATGCAACTCCCTCTCAGCTTTATGATGAAGCCATTAAAATGGAATTTCCATAGCTGAGGCAGCATTTGAGTCGCCTCTGAGCTGAGATGCATCATTTTAGAGAAATGATTGGGCATGCACCTGAAATGATATATGCCATTTATTGCCTTGCCAGCATTCTGTCCAGTTAGCAAAATACAGTGTAAGCTATTCCAGTGTTTGTTGAAATATTGTCAGTGTTGGACTTGTTGGATTTCCACTATCAGATGCTAAAAGCAGTCAGTGTTTCTACATGCTCATTTCCAGTGATTTGTTTACTTGTCCAGTCTTATCGCATGTCTTCCAGTGAATCTGCTGAAGTAAGTGTGGCTTATATGCCTTCATTTAAGGAAGGATACTAAGGTTTTGGGCATGCAGAATCATAATGTAACAATTTGATGTTTTATTTAAAGGTTCAGTGTGTAAGATTTTGGGGTATTTAGTGGCATCTAGTGGTGAGGACTGCAAACTGCAACCAACTGAAATTTCCCCAAGTTAGAATTTCTTCAGTGTTCATCATTCAGGAGGTTTTTATCCAGGAGCCAAAATATCAACAGAGGTCTCTTCCTCTCCAGAACAAACAGATTAGGTGATTTAAACCAGTAAAAACACCCCAAAAAAAAAACAGTTTCGTGTTATAAATCTGTTTCTTTGAGCCTATTTGGCATGTCAGAGACGGGCAACCCACCCAGCACCAGCCAATGTGTGCTCACCAGATATTCAGGAGGTTTTTACCGGAGGCAGAATTATCAGCAGAGGTCTCTTCTTCTTCAAAACAAATAGACCTGGTGGTTTAAACCAGAAAAAAACACAGAATAAAGCAGTATCATGTTACAAATCAGTGTTTCTCCTACGCTCTCATCATGGAGGGGCTGCTAACTACGTTGGCTGATGCAAAAAAGTGATTGGCCCTATCTGGAACCAGTGTTTGGTTTGTCTGTTCTAGGCTTCTGTAGAAATATGGTGGTGCAGCATGGCGATCTCCATGGACAAGGACCCACCTCCTATGTAGATATAAACGGCTCATTCTAAGGTAACGAAAACAAACAATTCTTATTTTCAGGTGATTTTACACCAAAGAAAACATACTTACTATATTATACTCAATTTGCTGCCAACATACCCCCTTAAATCCTACACACTGGACCTTTAATGTCACAACTGAGACAGAAATACTGCACAGTACGTCCCTCTCTGTGCAGTGTTCAGTCAGATTCTGCGTGAGGAGACAGCAGACAGTCTAGCCGGCTGCAGCAGCCTCAGACACAATGCTCCACTGTAGAGACCCAGGATTTGCCAGTGTGCACTACTGAGGTATATTTCCAGTGCGAGTTGCAACTATTCACTGAGGCCTTCAGCAGAGGCCAGTTATCTTCTCTCCAGTGTATCAAACTATTGAAAAGTGTTTTTGTTTCCAGTCAACACTGGTTTCAGTGTACATACAGAAACAAAAATGTGCGCAGCGTCTTCTACAGTATCTTTGCCTGGACTTCATTTAAAAAGTGGGATTCGGATGAAAAAGTAATTATGGCTTGTAAGTATGGAAGACTTGGCGATCATTAATCAAATGAGCGATACACTCATGGACTCAGTTAACAGTGACACAACAGTCATATTACAGTAATCTAAAATATTTTCAGTGACAGAAGAAAAAACAGTGTTTCAAACTCAGCAAAAAGAGATGTCTTAATGCATATACATATGAAGGAGATTACAGTGGGGACAGTGGTATATAGTTTGTTCTGTATGAATATCTTTAAAAATAATGTACAATAACAAGACAAAACCCTATCCCATCACAACAGCGTATAAACGCAACCATACAGGAAATACGTAGTGTATCGTAAAGGCACTGGGACACGTCGTCTTCCTTCTCACACGCAGCTGCTTTGAATGAGAAAATGGTAGTCAGAGTATGATGAGGCTTCTCCTTCAGTGGCACAGCTGACTTCACTCTGTCAAGGAAAACAATGTGGAGATGAAAAAAGTCATAAATCAGTCATTGATTTTATTCAAACTACTGCCTACCATACTAGAAGACTTTGAAAAGATTTTATAAATACTGTGAAAAGACTAAAGTCTAACACCCTCTCACATCAAAAGACATTGTGAGTTTTTCATCACACACTATAAGATTTTAGAAACACTTGGGATCCTTTCAAGATTATTTCCCATCCTGCTCCTTGTGGAAATTATTACACCAAACTCCTTTTAAGAAATATGACACATTAACAATTCCTTATGTGTCTGCAAAAACACAAAACTCTAGAAACACAAGATAAAAGGTGTCACATGGAAATTCCTGTCAGTTCAGCATCAATATAATCCATAAAGATAAACTTTATTTGGGTACAAACTATTTTTGGGCTTTGGCGCCTCAGTTCTTTACCAACATCTGTTAGTTAGCTGTAATATCTTTTAGGGAGCAGACCATGGAAATGGCAAAAGGCAAACTGTTTTAAAAAGTAGGATTTCTCACTAAAACGTGCTGATTGGTGAATCAGACACATGCCAATTTAAACACCAACTCTTGCTCATTACAATTACAACAGTTTTTTCCTCCTTTTCCACAGCCCAAGAGAACCGAGACTTGTTCACAATCTGGCACCTCCCTAGAGTCTCCTCCATTTTTAATGTTTGCCCAGTTTGCTGTTTCCTGTTTGGTGTTTGAGAGAGTGCAGCTATTGGTTGTTGACAATATTCACATCATTAAACTTCAATGTTTGCGTGAGCCAAGACTAAAAGCTTAAGATAATATTAAACATGTTTGATTTTGTCAGAAATTCATGATGAGAAAATTCTGACTGAGCTCGGACTGAGTTTTATGTCCACCTTACGATGAACAATCAGGATCAAGGGAGTGCACACCAACTGAGGTAAAACTCTTTATAACTCTTTATTTTAATCAGATATTGGAAATTTTTCTGTGACAGTTTTACTTGAAAAGTCATTTGGTGTAAAGGCCTTTGCACACTGAGTCCAGAATTATTGCACATCTAAAAATAAATACGACCTCACATTGTGCCAATCCTGTTTGCACGATGAGTCCGAATTTTTGTCTGTCATAAAAGTTTTTGGAACAGTTGAAATTTTCTAAATATTGCATCAAAGGCATTTAGAGAGTTGTCTGAGCAGGAATCAGTGAAGACAATGTAGCCACAGGACACATCCCTGACAAGACAGAGGAATGGGTCACACAGTATTCTTTCATAACTCAGATAGTTTACTCAGATGGTAATATTTAGGTGGCTAATGATGAGGAGGAGGAAGATGTGGACCACACACAGACAGTGAAAGTGTGGAGACAGAGAGGAAGGACAGCTCAGCCCCTTTAGCCACATGCAAGACAGGGAGCAAGTGTAGGAACAACCAGAAAGGTAACTGCAGTGAAGAGAGGCAGGGGAGGAAATGTGTGTTTTCATCTTGTCTTGTATTGCAAATTTTCGCAACAAATGTAACAATAACAACAACTTATTGGATTCAGTGTGCAAGGTTTCTGTGTGTAATGTTTGTTGGTTTGGATGATGGATTAAATAAAATGCATCCAAAAAACAGACTCCTTGTGCAAAGATCTAAAGGCTGGCAAAAGTACTACAGTTACTGGATCAAACAACACAGAGGAGCCACGCAACGCCTTAAAGCCCCTCATATTTTGGAGGACAAGTTTACTCACAGACAGGGAAACACGGAAGTGATAGGTGACGTCCTGGAAGGACAGCACAGGCACTGACCACAGGTGATGAGTCCCCTTAGTGGAAAAAATAAAGAGTCAGTGTGAACAAGTAATTCAGTGTAGTAGTCATTTTATATGATAGGTGATGATGATCATTATGTACCTTTGTTGATGTACTCTGTCCACCATAGAGCTCTGTCTCTGTGTGGTTGGGGCATAAACGTCCCTTGGTGGCTCCACATTGTCGAACCCACACACTGATCGTGGACCTGTAAAGAATTAAATATGCTTCAAGTCTCTGTGGCCTACAGTTGAAACATTGTTTTTGGTTGCACAGATTACACTTCTTTTATGGTTCTGTTATTTCCTAACAATTTCCAAGTTGTTATTTGATGTATTTTGAACTTAGTATAGGGTCAGAAAAAAAGAGTACTTTGCACATCTATTTCAAAACAGGTGCGTAGGAGAGAGAAGAGCACACCAGTTTTGTATGTGTATAATGTATTTATCAACATTCTTTACATTACTGCTTAATTGCTTGCCCCTGGAAAAAAATGCAAATTTTTGCTGACCTGCTGTGCACTGACTACTAGAGTCTCCTTAACATTATTTTTGCAGTTAATTGAAAGTGAACTAATTGTAAGTTTAACAATTGAAACCTGGTCCGTTTTACAATTATTTTGTACCAAATTACATGTTTTGTTTTGTTTTGTTTTTTACAGGAAAGTGTGATGTCTGTGTACTCACGTCATGTGCAAAGTGATTTGTGACAAGGAGGAATTTCTGTTTCCATGGAGTGATACTGTGTAGCTGGAGTAAACACAGAGAAAAACAGCATCAGCATCAAGACCTGAATTCATACTGTAACTGAGTAAAGGGCAAACATACAGAGAGGTGACAAATCAAAGGAAAAACTTCAAGGAATGACTGGAGATACATGATAAATTTAGATACTTCCATAAAGGGCATGATGTTTCATGACTTCGATGACTTTGAAAATGATGGCCTTCAAAGTTGAAACATTTCAACCTGACTGAGCCCCTTTTGGAAACTTTGGACCAAGGAGTAATACAGTGCTGTCCAACACCATCATCAAACACCAAATTAGGGAATATCTTTTGGAAAAATGATGCTCATCCCTCCACTAGAGATCAAAACTTGTAGAATCTATGGAGCATTGCAGCTGATCCGGATGCTATTGGCCCAACACCTCACTAGGACATTTTATGTCGCTTCTTCCTTTAATTTGTCACCCATCTGTACAATGTCAACTCAAGACTTTTAAGTATGTACCTGCAGCTTTCAGGTGTGGCGCAACTTTGCGCTGTAATCTCTTGGTTTGTCTCCACGATATGTAGACTAGTCAGAGAAGGAGCTGACCTTCCTCCTGCAAAAGTAAGAAAAGCTGCACTGTGAGCACTGGACCCACGCTGACGCATTCCACTGTACATTCTGTAGATAAGCTTTGTTTGCTGTTGTCAAACACACGGCTTTACAATGTTTGCATACTGCATATTATATGTGTGAAAACAGTGCCGTGTCTGGGCTGTGTTTGTGGATTTACCCTTTGTGTGTAGGCTGCGTTGTCTGCGTGGCTGTGGCGGCTGACCTGGGGGCAGGCGGTTGGCAGCTCCCACTCCACCCAGGTCTGTAGGTGCCGGCTTTTTGGATTTGGCAAAGTACAAAGGTGCTGAGGTGTGACTCAGGCGATTTCTATTACGGCCTTCCTTGTCCATTGATCTGGACTTGGCCTTCTGATTAATATAGCCTGGAGTGGGAACTGGGCCACCTAAATCTAGAGGAGGAAGATAATTAACCTGTATTAAAGACAAATGTACTCTACAGTTACAGGGAAAACATTGCATATTTGTTTACTTACCTGCCGTGGATTGGTTGTTACTCAATGTCATAACTGTAGCTGATTGGTTGTTTATGGCTGAAGTTGAACAGCAAGCTGCAGGATTCATGAAAAAACAGAGAAAAGGATCAGATCTCACTAAAATATACTGAAATTGTATGCCCTTAGTGAGCTTGTCGATAGCTGTGCTTTCCAAAAATACCAAACTTAGTGAGGTGGTCAGTGGGGCTGGGTGTAGGTATCAACAAAGTAACCCAGGACTAAGTAGTATTGAAACTTCTCCAGTCAAATGACACCGTCATTTGATCCTTTTTGTGCCAAAATCTAGAAAAAAATTACTATTTGTATGGTTTTGCTTGAAGCCAATCACTGTAAGCATTCTTCAGTTTCATGCAACATGTGACTGGCCCACTACTGCAGCAGCTATAGTCCATAAAGTCTGTGGTGTAGTGAAGTCAATGCACTGTATTTGACGGAGTTGGCAGCGTAGTGTGCCGAGATGCCACCAAACTGTTTGAAAGTATGGCTATACCACAGGCACGTGGGGTCTGGTGGCATTTTACCCAACCTAATGCTTTTATTAACATGATAGGTATCAAATGAAGTGAAAAATAAAGATATCAGTATCACTTCATTGGTGCTGGTATCATATTTTTTTAAACAATACCCAGCCATAGTGATCAGTCACTCCACTCACCTGGTGCAGGGGTGGTGGACAGAGGAGTGTATGGACTCTTGCGTGAGGATCCCAGTGCAGCTCTGGACCTGCACCAGTCAGACAGCAGTACAGGAGGTCAAGAGCATGCTTCAGGTAGCACAATGAAACATGTAAAACCCAATTCATTTCAGGCTGTTTAGATACATGACTCATGATTTCCTTTCAGAAAAAAAGAAACACCCAACTAAGCAATCAAAGATAAGACTGAAAGAGTCGATCAGTAAATGAAACAAGTAGCAAGAAAGGCAGGTGTTGAGAGCGTACCATGGGCAGACAGGCGGACAGAAAGTGACAGTGGCAGTGAAGATGGGCATCCAAGAGATGTAGAGAACACAGGGAGGAACATAACTACAGAAAGCAGGAACAGATTATATAGACAGACATCAGTGGAGAAGAGAGAAGTTGATTTCTGTCACTATAAAGCTTAGGTGTCTTTCACCCTCGAAAGCACATACCCATCTTTCTCTGTGACGTCTCCTCTATGGTGAAGAGTCAACACATAAAGGACGGACATGGAAATGACACTGTCGGGGGACAAAGAAAGATCAAATCGTCATCTTCATGTCATTTCTGCACACAGCTGCAGCTGATTTATTTTTCTTTACCCACCACTCCCTCCCCAAACACATTTGGCTCAGTCTAACCTGAAGGCCATGACAATGACCAGTGCCAGGATGGTTCCCTGCATGAACCTCTGGCTGATGCAGCCTTGATCTGGAAGCAAATTCTGCACCAAAAAAACACATATTACATTAAAGTTATAACCCCGTTGTTCACTCATAACACAGTTTAAATGCATAATTATCGCCACAGACCTTGCTCCCAGGTTTGACTGTCTTCTTCTTGAGTGGGCCACTTCCTGTTCTGCTGAAATAACTCCCTGATTGGCTACAAGAAAAAACAGTGATCTGTTAATTCTTTCTAATCATACAAGATTGTCTCTGTCAGTTACTATGTTTACATGCACACATAATGTTTAAGGTGTGCTCCTCCGTCAGACTCGAAATGTGGGCTTTTCTCTTGGGCATGCATCTCTACTGTAGCCTTGCAAACTGTTGGCATGTTGGTTTGTGCACAACGTATCCATGACAGTGCACAGAGCTGTTGTAAACAGGCAAGATGCTGTGTGTCGCAAACAGTGGTAAAAACCCCAAATGAGATGCACAGAATGCTCCTAAACACTTGAATAATATCGGAATATCCTACATGTCTTAATTGGAAAATTCTACATTTGGAATAAGGCCTAATTCAGAATATCCAAACGGAATAAATTGTTTACATGACCCACATCAAATTCAGAATATTGTCATATTCAGTATAACAGTGGATTTTTAGTGTGCATGTAAAGGTATCCTGTGTGTGCCACCCTCCCCAAAGCCTACATCTGAGGGCATTACTGCTCATTGCTCTCACCTGACAGTGCCTCCACTCACGGTGCTCTTCATGCTGTCAAGGCGTCGCAGCTTGGCCAGTTTGCGGCTCCAGCGCTCAAGTTCGTCTATACGGGTCTCCAGGTTGTCTGTCAGCTTACACAGCTCCTTCACCGCTCCCACATTCTCCATGAAGATACGCTCCTGTAAAATAAAAGGGAGAGCTGTTAGTGTGTTTGGAAGTGAGTCTGTGTGCACTGTATGTTTTTTGTGTTTTTAATACCTTGTTGACCACTAACAGGTTGGGGATAGTTTCTCCATTGGCACACACCACATCACCCCCCTCTTTCACTGCTTCAGGCAGGATCTGCTGAACCTCTTGAGCAATGACGCCTGCAGGAGGACATAACAAGTGAAAAAAGAGCAGCACAAGCACAATGGCGTGTACAGTCACAGGACATGGAGCAAAAGACAGATCCAATATTAAGACATAGAGATGACAGCATGATATACAGTGTACAAAGATATGAGATGATGGAGGCAAACATTTAAATTTGTTATTCATGAAGTTGTTACCAGTCTCTGCAGTGTTCTCTATGCCCACGGTGGCAGCAAACTCAGGCTTGTACTGATAATGGACCAGCCTCATCTGAGAAATCCGTTTCAAATTGTCTGTGGTGTCGACCTACACACAGACAGAATGACAGTGACGTCCATGCAGATGGTATGAAAACACAATGTTCATGTTGCAGATGAAAATGCTTGGATCAAGAACAATGAAAAGACAAACTCAGAGTTAAACTGCACAGTCAGCTGTGTTGAGCGTGAGCATTTGGATGACATGATTCATGATGACGAGGCACACAATGACACACTGACACTTTGGAAACACACACACACGCACATGCACAAACGCACACCCATATACATACACACTGAGTGTCATCCTGACCTCCTGGACATTTTCTTTGGCCCTGATGTCAGACGGATGAACCAGGGAGCCCATGACTTTCAAATTGCCATGGACAACAAGAGCCTCGTCCGGCCGGTCGGTGTTGATGCCGACTCTCCCGTGGTGGTAGACTGAGTCCGGCAGTTGGCCACGCTGCCACAGCACCTCATTGTCACTTTCAAACTGGCCTGGGTTGGATGCCTGTAACAGAGAGACAAAGGAGAGGGTGCATAGACAAACAGCAGTTCAGATGTTTCTAAAAGATGTGCCAAAAAGATCCAAATAATGGCAACATTTTTAAAGGAATAGATCTATGTTTTGGAAAATATGTTTATTTGCTTTCCTGCCAAGAGTTAAATAAGAAGATAGGTACCACTTTCAGACAACCAGTGGAGTGCTCTGCTACCAGTAAAACAACCACAATTTGTATCTACACTTTCTTTCCTGTTGTGAGCTTTAGAGGTGCTGGTTAGCAGATTTCACTGATTTTGTTTTGTTAGTCATTGACAGGATAATTGTTTCCTCTGTTTCCAGTCTTCATGCTAAGCTGAGGTAACCAGCTGCTGGCTCCAGCCACATATTTAGTGTACAGGTATGAGGCAAGAAAGCAAATAGGTGTATTACCCAAAATGTGGAATTATTCCTTTAACACAAGCCTAAGATGAATAGTGTTGACTCAACATTAGACCTTATAGCTTAGCCGGTGTTCAAAACTTATTGAAAAAGCAAATTTATTCACCAAATTCTGTTCTCATGTAAGCCTAATCAGCTGAAAATAATTTTAATGTGATTGTACAGATTTCAAATAGCTCTAAAACTTATTAAGTTCATGCAGTTAGGGCACACTGTGCAGTGTTACAGATATAAAGTCCACTGCACCACCGTGGGAGGCACGGTGGCAGTGGTTAGCATTGTTGCCTCAACAGGGGTCTTGGTTCGAACCCAGGGTGGGACACAGCGCTGAAAAAACTGCAGATATAGCGAGGCGAAATGCCACATTGTTGGCTTTCACTTTTACTTTTTGTGTTTACAAACACCAGCCAATTATTACTGCACAGTATACCTTTAACTATACACTGTAATTCCATGTTTTACACGTAGAGTAAGCACAATGCCAACGCTGTCCAGTGAAAAACATGCATTTACACCTTATGTTTTCATTAACTGTGTGGTCAAATGTTTCATTATGAGTGAAGACACTTCTTAAAGTTCTTAAAGATACATGGTTTTCACAGCACAGCTTATTGTGTGTATTAGAGTGTACAATAAGTGTGCAGGGGATCACAGTCACGCAGATTAAATGAATGGAAAGACAGACAATGGAAAAGATGTGATCTACTCAGTGATATTTTTAGTGCAGAAAGGTATGTAAAAGAGACCAAAGGTGTCACATTCACAAGGGATATGATTGTTGTAGGAGGCAGACAGACATGGCCAGACGTTACCCTGACGATGATCCTCTCAGACGCTTGGGCAGCCACAGTGTAGCTCTGACTGTGGGACTGAGCGTGCAAAGCCACCACCAGCATGAAATACCTGCGAGGACAAAAACATCAGGACTAGATGTGACTGCTGAAGCTTTGACAGGATCATGGTGACTCATTGTGTTTACATGTGATGGGATGTCCTTCACCTCTGGTCAGGGTTTGGTTTGCCCTTCTTCCTCATGTTATTTGCCGTGGTCTCGCTGAAGTGGAGCCGCCCCACTGTGACCTTTGTGACCTGCTCTGAGGGCAGGGTGACCCTGGAAGGAACAGAATCACAAACACATTATGCAAACAATCTGCCTTCCACAGCTAAATACTGAGTCATGAACTTATCCAGTAAAGATTTGACACTCACAGCACTGGCTTAAAGGGTCTCTTGCTGCGATCAGACTGTGACTGCTCCACACTGATAGACTGATTCATGGCCTCCACCTGGGAATCAAGACAGAAATAAAATATACACTAAACACTGTAGAGCTAATTATCTGTCAAGTTAAGGTCATGCTCACTGTTTCGCCTCCGCGCACCTTTACTCCGTTGAGTTTGAGATATAAGCAGTCGATGGGCTGCAGGCCCTCACTTGTCTTGATGTACTTGGGTTCTCCCAGCATGCCTATGTATACTGTGACCTGGAAATGATTCTTCTTCTGGCAGACAAAGGCATCATCAGCCAAGGAGAAGTTGAAGCCCTTGTCAGCATCGACACGGTAGGTTGGCATTGGACTACAGAAAGGGAAAGAGATTGCGACATATAGATAATGTGAATAGGAAGTGCACATAGGGTTTAAGAAAAGTGGAAAGTGTAGAAGCTGCTGCATACTGCTGACTTTTGCCATTTTATCACCAGGGGGAGACTCTTGACTATTAACAGGAGTCCTCTACATGTTTTTCAGGTCCATGCCATCAGAGACACATGTTGACGGAGCATATGTAATGTATGTGATTTGGCAAAGATATGGGCAACATTTTATAATCTATAAGGGGAGCTGACATGGAGATGTGACTGGCAACTCTCTTATTTCCCTGTAGTACCATCATAAAATACTTTTTTTCTGTAAATAAACCAGAGGCGGAGTAGAGGGGACCTTTAGGTTGTTAAAATATCTACAACTTTTAGTCATTCAGATATGCTGTTACCCTACTATAATATTCCCTAAAGACATCTAATATAATTAATAAATGTACATCTGGCCTCATATTCAATTCAGAGTACTGAAACCCACATTTAGTCCTTTGTTTTTGTTGTGCTTTTTTTCTCCTGTTGTAATGTTTGTAATGAACTTGAATTAGACATTTTTTCTTTTGCAAAGCACTTCCTAACCTTGGTTTTGAAAGGTGCTACACAAATAAAATTTTATTAACATTTTCTTGGTATTGTTGGGGATCCTTGATTTGTAATTGGAGCGCTGCAGATTATTATGGTATGGATTCAAATGTAAATGATTTGATTTGATGGTTTGTTACATTCATTCTGTAAACTCGACTCCAGCATAGTGTAACAAAAGTAGGTTTCAAGATCTGTAATGCTGTTTATGCCAAAGTCCGACCCTATCAATGTAATGTAATTTAAGAATATTATGATTCGACAATTTTTGTCTCTTTTTAGGTGTCAGGAATTAAAATAAGTCAACCTCAGCGTTTGTTGTGACATGGTTTTGGAATGATGAAGACAGTTTGAGAAAGCTTAGATACAAAATAGACAGATTCACCAAGATGTCACACTTGTTATTTCTGTCATCATTTTCATTCCTCACTGTAACATTTAAGGATATATAGTTAAACATGATGGTCTGGCCAATCAGATATTTCTGTTGTGCTAATTTTATATACTGTGTCGGTCTTTGATAAACCGGCACGGAAGCTGAGCAATGAACTGCTGTGGACAGGGTCGCAGCAAAGTATATCTTAGCCACCTTAAAAAAAAATCAATATCAGTGCAAGTGTAGGATATATTTGGAATATTTTCATGCTTTATCTGACACACTAGACACTGACGGCAAGGTAAAGCAGTAAAATACTCTGAATATAGCATACACTTAAACTGATGTTGTTTTTTTCCTTGGTCGCTAAAAACTTAATAACTAAGACAGCAGTTTTTAAGCACCATTTTCTGTCATGAATGTTACATGGGGGGTTTTCTACAAGTCAGTTACTGTAAACAAACATTGGGATTCAGTCTATAAGATGAATTTTTTACTTTGGCAACCATCATGTTTTTCCCATATGATCTACAGATTTTAGGCATTTTATTATCTCAAATGGCTTGACAAATAGTGCATATACAGGTGATGTAAACTGGAAAAAAAATCTCTCCCAATGCCCCTGGACCACCCTAGGTTTGGGCTGAGCCCCGAATGTTTACAACGTCTGGCGCCACCGCTGAAATAAAAGTCTCCTCATTGTTAGACACCCCTGCATATGCCCCTGGGCCTCGGTTTTCCCATTTTCTTGCCATTACTTTATGACACCGAGGACTGAAATAATCTCAAAGACTTAATAAATCAAATGTAAAACAAATGAAAACCCTCCGTGCCCTTACGTAGGTGTAGTGAGCTAAATGTTGTGATGGGCAACCAGGTGGTTTTGATAACATATCTGAAAGGTCTTGTGAGTTCATTTCAACCTTCCTCCCTATCTATACTTTTTTTCTATTTTGGCATTGCAAAAGCAAAAGTAGGTGTACACTAATTTCTCCCTTTACCCCCTCCTCGCGTTGTCTTTCTAAGCCGAAACCCTGCTCTCGCTCACTCCCCCACACAGCTCACCTCTGAGGAATTTGTAGACCTCTGCAACCCTGCTATTCCTTTGACACTCCTGCTGTATACTTTGTTGAATTATTCATTGAACCAATTATAACATCTTTTCAGTCTTGGCTCTCTGCACAGTGCTTTCAGCTCTTTTTTCCCCCAGAATAAAAACCTCAAGATGTACAGATATGCCAAAACAAAGTCCACCCACAGCTCTTTGCAGTTTGCGTCATACAGTGGTGTCCACTTGTTCTGCTGGTGAGGCTGCCACTTAATGCACTGATAGTTTGGGTCCAGGTAGGCGTTGTCTGCATCCTGCATTAAACCTGTAAAAAAAAAAAGAGAGCAGCAATTAAATCAAGATAGAAGAATGCTAAGAATGTGTTGAATGAGTTAAAGGGTAGATAAGAGCAGGTGAGAGTGAGGTAGAGGAGGCGAGGAAGAGAAGAAAGATGCCTGCCTACCTGGTTCTTGTTTGATGATACCTGTGAGGATTTGGGAATTGAGGGTGCTGTTGGGGGAGTCAGAGTGCTTCCTCTTCTTGGCCTGGTGAACAGGAATGCCGCTGTTGGAGGAAAGGGAAACACAGTCAAAAACTGCACACATTTCTACTCCTTCTGCTCCATACAAACTGGACAGCAAAACCCTCCCTCCACCCTCCTGCATATGCTCATGACTCACTCCTGCCCCTGAGGGTGCTGCAGTAGCTGATGGAGCATCTGAGTCTGCTGCATGTCTCCACTTCCGCTAGTGGCTGGACCAATGGGATACTGGGATATCATGGGTTCAGGCTTCAAGTACATGTCCCGGTGCATGCTGGGATAGTGCCCATGTGGTGGGAGGGGTGGTGTTGGAGTCATGTGACACATGTTCTCTGGTGTCATGGTCCTAATCATATGAGGATCTGGAAGACACAACAGGAAAGGAGCATAACATCTACCCCAAGGGTGTCAAACATACGACCCATGGGCCAGAACCAGCCCACCAAAGGGTCCGATCCGGCCCACTAGATGACTTTACTAAGGGGTGCCAGATTTTAGGAGCAATGCGTTGCCTACTTTGTGTAAAATTCTGCTTCAGAGCCTTTTCCACCCTGACCTGGATACAGTTCTCTGATATAACCATGAAGACTTGCTGTGATCATGTTTAAAGATAGTGGACACTGTGCAAAATATTGTCAATCAGCAGCTTCAGTTCAAAAGAATCTGTATCAGGAAATATTTGGATAAATGCTCATGTAATGACAGTGAGAGGAAGACTGACCGAATGTGGAGAAACTCAGACATACTGCTGAAACTGCATTTATTTTTCTTGAGACATCTCAGGCTGTTCATCTGTTTTGTAAAAGGATGAGCCTCTACAAAATGTACTTGTAATTCTTTACACAAAAGAAGGGAAAATATTGGAGCTGATGGTACTCATAGGTTATCATGCGATGGTTTTATTGGTCCAGCCCATCTGAGATCAAATGGCGTAAGTGAGTTTGACACCCCTTGTCTACACCATTATACATACTGTTTTTTCCAAATACATTTGATCACACACAGAAGGCCGCTTTTTCTCCTTAAGACTCATCTGTCTGTTCTGCATTTCAGACTGCACTTCATTCTACTTCCCTACAACCTTAACTGAAGGTATTTTCCATTGTTTCAAACTGGAGAACTAGAGGGTTGCCCATCAGATAGCACTCTTCCACACCTTTTTACTAATGGGCAAGACCAACACAGGTGTGTAAGCGGCAAGAAGTACATAATGACTTTGAGCGCTGTTTTTGTTCAGTTCGTAATGTTAAAACAAGCCAACCATACACTGGTTCATTCTTAACATGAAAGCTTAAAAAGCTGATTTCAGATCATTTAATTTAGTGGATAAAATCCATTTTCTACACAAACTATATAAACTGTTGGTTTATAAATGACAGACGCTACATTCAGTTTATTGATTGGTTTGCACATGAACTTCCCTTTTTCTTTATGCTCTGTTCAAACACAAAGTGATGAGTAACAGATATTGATTTGACTGAGACCCACATACACCGTGAATACTTCAGTGGGTTCCTCTGACTGTCTGAGAGCAGACTACAGATTAAAGCACCATTTCTGTTTGTTACATGTCATTGTCATATTCGTTCTACACACTTCAGCACTGAGAGGAAAAAGACATTACTTACCATTCACCTGCTGAGGAGAGTATGGCTCTGAGCTGGAGTCTGGGGGGGACTCAGGTAGTGTCCTAAAAAACAGAAGGTAGACGATGTTATAGTCACAAAAACAGTAACGTTCCACTTTCAAATCACAGAAATCCTTAAAGAAATACCATGCTTTAAGTTGGTAAGTGCCTCCTCTTATATTCTTCTTATTTTCTAAACTGCCATTATATTTAAGAGAGAACCTTTCCTTTGGGATCAGAGTAAGTGTAAGACGTTATTTACACAAGATTTTGTGCGTCAGGATTTTTTTTTTTTGCAGGATGTAATTTGACTCTCTCTCTGGCTGTTATCAGTCTCCCTCCCTCTCGGGTCCAGCTAGTGTTTTATTTGTACAAATGAAGCTTAATCATGTATTGATTGCATAATGGGCCTGTAGCAGGGTGTGTGTCTGGTTTCGCTGCATGCTTTAAAAATATATACTGCGTCATCTTCTGAAACTTCCACCTGATTTCATGTTTAAGATGTGAGTTGTGGGAATGTCTTGAACCTTTTTTTGAACATTCCTAAGTGTCAATGCATGCTATACTTCATGTCCTTCTATCCATCCACCTCCGTGGTATTGTGCTCACCCTGGAGCGTAATGGCCCCTGTGCTCGGGCTTGACGTGAGCCTGCTGTTGCTGCTGCTGCTGGTGTTGGTGTTGCTGCTGCTGCTGCTGCTGCTGCTGCTGTCCCAGGCAGAGGTAGTTGTGTCGGAGGCCCAGGGATGGACCTGGGGGGTAGGCGTTCTGACAGTTAGGAGGCCCAGGCGGAGGGGCTCCTTGGCGCAGTGGGATAGGGGGGCTCACACCACACACCAACCCCCCAGAGGAGGACACTCCTGCCTGGGGAGATGAGTAATTTGGTCCTGGGGTACTGTGGACCTCTGAGAAACAGCTGGGAGAAAGAAAAAGAAGAAAAAAGAGGATTAGCCTTATCAGAAATAACAAATTCCTTTGTAACGACATGATCTGATTCGGTTGGTGCGTGTTGTTTTGACGTTGCTGGGTTGGTTTGGAGTCCCTACTGACATGTCAGTGCTATCGTCCTCCTTGCTGATGTACTCTTCCAGGATACTGGTGTCGATGTTGGCTGGCTCCAGAGAACTGATAATATCATGACCTGTAGTGAAGGGAGGGTCGGGAACACAGAGGGGAGATGGAGAGCATCTGGGAATTAGCAACGGGAATCTTTCAGCAACTCCACACACTGCCACTAAAGCTCTGGTTTCGACACAAGCTTGTGTTGTAACAATTCCCTGTAAGACTATCTATCTGTCTAATAATGCACTATTAACCCTGCTTATCATTTTAAGCTCTTTGTGCACACTTCAAACAACCTGATTACATCGAATCATTGCATTTGTATCAGAAAAAAAATCTTTTGCCAAACACATAGCAAGATCATACAGAGCTCTAATTTGCTTCCTGAGAATTTAAAGATTACGCTTACAGGAGTGACCAACAGTCTAAAAATGTGTTAGTAATTGACGTTACAGATTACATACTGATGATTCACTGCCTCTAACTGCTTACATATATAGACTGGAATCACTCCAGTTAACGGTTACTATTACGTACCCCCGCTGCCTTTCCGCATTAAAAAAGAATCACAGTTGACATAATTAAAGAAGTATTTCACTGCTGAAAAGACGGCCTTTCCATAAAACTAGCCTGTCTATACAGTAAAACAAATACACAGAAATACTTTTGAGATTGGTGCTATATGACCATAGAAAACAGAGGAAACGAGCTGTTGCATTTGGTTTTGCTCAAGAGTTAGAAAACCTACAACTACCAGAATGCACTGCACAGCACTGGACCTATAAATACTCCCACTGGTGGGTGATGTAACATGAGCTTGTCCATTTTGACACAAAGTAATATGACGGTTAGCTGGTAACAAACGATCTTAAATGATAGTTAAACAGTAAGCTAAAATATGTTTTCTGAAAACATTTTAGGTGAGATATAGGCAACACAGTAACAGAATCTTGGTTCATATTTGATAAATAATATTATCAGTTTTTCCAAACTCTGTTTTTGCAATAGAGAAAACATCATGGTGTCCGCTTCCTGTTGACAAATTCTCGTATTACAGGCAAACAGTGCACCAAAACATGTTTCTGAAGACGTTTTAGGTGGGAATAGGCAATACAGTAACACAATCTTGGTTTATATTTGATAAATGTAATTGTCAGTTTTTTTCAGACTGTTTTTACAATACAGGAAACAGTATGGTGCCCACTTCCTGTTCATAAATTCTCATATTACAGGCAAACTGTGCACTAAAATGTTTCTGTAATCATTGTAGGTGGAAATAGTAACACAATCTTGTTTGTTTTTGTTTTTTTGATGGGTGCCCTGCCTTGGGCAGCTGTGGCTCAGAGGGTAGACTGGGTTGTTCACTAATCAGAGGATCAGTAGTTTGATCCCTGGCTTCTCCAGTCCGCTTGTTGAAGTATCCTTGAGCAAGATACTGAACCCCAATTTGCTCCTGGTGGCTGTTCCATCAGTGTATGGGTAGCAGGTGGCACTTTGTATGGTAGCCTCGGCCACCTCTGTGTGAATGGGTCAATGTGACAAATAGTGTAAAAAGCGCTTTGAGTGGTCAGAGGACTAGAAAGTTTTGTCCATTTACCTAGTTTAACAGTTTGATCTAAGTTTGTCTGAGACAGAGAGGGGCGGGTCTCTCTCTCGATCTGCTTCTGCACTCTTTGTGTCTGTGGTGGAGGCGGCATATGAAAAAGTACAATCTGTAGTTTGAGCAACAGCCCAAGAGCCAGCAAAAATCCACTGGATGACGTCAGAGATGAGCAGGAAGATCAGGGCGCTGGTAAGATGGAGGGAAGTTTACCACAGTTCATTTCCACATACTACCCACATTGTTATGATACAAAGCTGGTTGAGTATCACTTTAATAATAATTACAAAAGGACTAATGAGTTACTACACTAGGTTGTGTTTTCTCCATTTTCTTTGTTTACTACAATTGACATCTACCGTAAAGGTGAAATAAATCTAAAATGTTTTTTCTTCTTGTCGTGTGTGGCATAATTTAAAATACTTTTACATAATGATATAGCGTATTTTTTAGTAATTTCATAATTCCCTTATGCTTGCCTTACTTCACCCCAGGGTCATTTTCACCCTTTGATAGCCAAAGCCGCACAAATCCCAAACACATGACCCCACTTAATCTTTAAAACACCAACACGCAGAACAAGCACTTGCTTATGCATATATTTAGAAAAGAGTAAATCACTTTATATGAACCGACCTTTGCTGTTGCACCCAGAGCACCCAATTAAAAATGTTAGATGAGAGAGAGTGATGCATTTTCTTTAAAACTGTCACCAGTTGTCCCAGACTGCAGACGCTGGAAACAAAGAGAATGTAGGAGAGGAGAGGGGGAGCAGGATGGAGGGGGTGAAGCAGAGGGTAAGGAACTGGTATATAGTGGGTGGGCAGGCAACCCCAGTCTTTCTCACTGTCTCTTTCTCTGACACACACACACACACACACACACACACACACACACACACACACACTTTCTCTGATAGATTAGCAGCTACTCAGTTGGGAATGCAAGGAATTTTTGTGTTAGCATTGGAAAAAATTCTCCTTTTCCCTCTTTTTTGTCTTCTACTAACGCTTCACTCTTCATCAGAAACACAGCTACAATGTTACTACCAGTATTATTGTCACGGATTCCCTCCTAACCCTCTTCACATTTTGCTTCCGTTCACCAAAAATGATTTAATGGCCCATATTATCTAAGGAATAATATGTGCGTTGTCCCCAGTTTACAGAACAAACATCAACATCTTACAACCTTCAGTGATTAAACCCACAAACCAAATTACCTGTCTCCAACCAATCAAATCAAGAACACTCCAAATTCTGTTGTTTACCTTTATAATTCCTCACATTACCAAGTTTCTGGAGAAAACTAGCCTATTTACACTGACTGAATTTCTCTCTCTGGACAGAAACAGATGGTTAATGTCTCTTGATACGTGCCAGTGCGAGGGGAGAAAAGCAGGATGGTTCCCCTTAAATAAGATCCAGATGTTCACCCCACCCAAATAGGCAGTAAATTTAAGCTGGCAGGCCTGATAACGAAAAATAGAGAGATGGAGGGAGAGGGGAGGGTAGATAGATGGAGGTTGAGGAGAGCGGGGGCAAGAAAGACAGAACACAAGTTTAATGTCCAAGAATGGAATGATAGAGGGGAAAACCTGTGAGGAAGACTGAGGGCAGAATATGAAACAGGGCTGTAATGAAGTTGTGTCCAAGAGAGGTCAAAGACCGAGTGCAGTTGAGTTCAAGTCAAGAGTGGCATGAGTTCAAGACCTTGATCAAAAATCCAATCCTCTCCTAAAACCCAGCTGTGTGCATTAAATATTTTTGTACTTAGTGCTGAGTTAGCTGCTCTAAACCCTTTCAGAAAATATGGTAGAATGAGACATACCTAAATTTGGAAACTAAATAGAGACGTACTATGAGGCTGCGCTCTTTTAAAGGCGCTGTATGTAAGAATGTGGCCAAAACAGTTACTGCACTCAAATTCAAAATACTGCCGCGAGTCGTGTCCGCCCCCCCTCCCCTACAGATTCGAGGTTGCTGGACAGCGGCACGCTGGAGACTGATTTGTTTGCCCACGGGCGGCTGCCGTGGCAGGGCCGCGTCGCCGCGTCTTTGATCTTCCGTTTTCCAGCGGACCGTTCGAGCAAGTCCGGCTTCTCTGCTGCTTACGCTGCTGCCGGGATACAGCTGAGGAGACTGCTAATGCTATGTACCGGGACACTGCTAATGCTGCTTGCTGTGCTGCTGTAGCTCAGTCGTAACTGTAACTGATGCTGAGACTCTACTGACTGCGTGACTGGTAGACGGCAGTGGGTGGCGCAACAGGCGAAAACACAAATTCAAAACATAAACATGATTTGCGGACCGTAAAATTTTTTTTTTAAATGCGAATATTCTGGCTGTACTATTGTTGTCGGTGAGATCATATGTTATATGAACATTATTCCTTAGTCTCTGTGACATATTAGGAGGATTTTACGACTGTTTGCTTTAGATTTCTTACATATAGCTCCTTTAAGGCAAATTTGTTATCTGGGGCAATACACATACATTGATTGACTTGAGCATGCTACTGAAAATGATAGACATTCAAAACAATAATCTAAATGACAAATATGGACGCCCTGGGTTGGTGGTTCTGTCCACCAAAGCATCATTATTTGATGATTTGGGAATGAGATTCAACCATCCACTGTCTTTCACCAAACTTACTTACAGCACATTTAAACCTGCAATAACTGTTTTGATTTTGGTCACTTGGGGGCAGTGCAAACAAGTTGTAAACACAAAATTGAATCCTTTCAAGTTTAGTGACAAACTTATGAACAAACCATTTCTTATTTGCATATCCAGCAGGTAAGGAGCAAAATAATCATTCATTTGGAGTTGTGTTCCTGTCCACCTGATGAATTTAAATCAAATATTCACTCTCTTTTAACTCCATTTTTGGTCTCTACCAACTCCCTATGGAAATATCTTGCTCTTTAGCTTTGAAATACTGAGGGGAGCTCTAGGTTTGAGTGATAATTTTTGACAATCATTAAGAGTGATCTCTTTCACACTGTTACATTGTTTTCATATCGTCAGCTGATACACTGTTACAGTAAAAAATATAGATTATATCTGCTTTAATTGGTTGCACTTAACCTTTTAAAGACTGGGGCATGAGAGAATAAGGCTACGTTACACATTACAGGGCTTAATGCTCAATTCCAATTTTTTTCCCCCCAGATCTGATGTGTCCGCCTAGACTGTTCATATTCATGTTTGAAGTCAACCATATCTGACATCACACATTTACAAAACTTTTGGCGGAAATTTGGGGAAAAAATGAATTACACAGCCGTGCAACTGTTATCTGCTGATTGATCGCCAGAGTAGGAAGGTCCGATAAGTAATTCTGCATAATAATTAGCACTGTGCTTCTGTTTGGGAGAGTGTGTAGCATATTTTCAGAGAAATGGCCCTTCGGAGCAAAGAGAGTTTGTTTTCAGGATAATGGGATGTCGTACAAACGCGCTTTACTGGCTTTGT